CCCTTCCTCGTGGCTCTACAACATGGTCACCTCTCCTAACTACCCAAACTACAACTCATCTCTTCCGGTGCTTGTGATATGTTTACATTTCTGCAGGAGCGCCCATTGGACAAAATTTCAAAACTTCCAGGGGTCTCCACCCCTCGGGGGTTACCACTTTCTTAACCTCTGGGGGAAAACAAGGTTCAAACCACTACACCAGGTAGATGTCACCAATTAATTGTATAAAAAGCAGACGGTTCGTGCTGGGAGTAGAACTCAAGCTTCACATTGAAGGACAATGTTGCCTTTTGCAGTGACACTTGCCATCTTGTGAGCCTGCCGACACTCCAAGGATGCAGTTTCTGCTATGGGTAATTCTAGGCATTCTGAGGTTGGTAAGATAACTTCGTAAGCAACATCTGAGTGAGAGGGGGACTTGTACTGAGGGCTTATTTTCCTCCCCTTTCCTCTCTCTCGAGTTCTTGTTTTGTTGGCCACCTCTTGGTAATAAATACTGGTTTTGTTGAGCTTTCAACAGTGTATGGTTTCAGTTTCAGCATCCTCCCTGCTACAGTCTTCCTTATGAAGTTGTAAAAGAGGTACGTAAATCCATAAAAGAGTATGGATTGCAGTCATCATATACACTGGGGCTGATTGCGGCTATCGGAGATTCTTATGTTATGACCCCGTCTGACTGGAAATGCCTTTCACATTTAATCTTGTCTGCCACGCAGTTCACGGTTTGGTCTGCTGAATATCATGAACTGGTCAATGCTCAAGTTAGGGACAATGTCCCAAGTGGGATGGCTATAGGTCGCAGTGAATTACTGGGTGAGGGGCAATACTCTACTGCAATGACACAGGTCATGCTGCCATGACTCACTTTCACTCAAACTACTGATCTGACCATGAAAGCCCTTAGAAAAGTTCCAGACGCCAAAAACAGAGAGCTACCTTTTGTAGTTGTTAAACAGGGACCATAGGAACCTTACGTGTCGTTCATTGATCGATTGCAGACTGCAATTTTGTGGCAGATAGATAACAACGCAGCAGCACAGGTTTTACTTTTTTAGTTAGCAACTGACAATGTAAATATAGATTGTCAAAGAGCTCTGGTGCCTTTAAGAAATCGAACTAAGTCAGTTGCCAAACTTATTACGGCATGTCAGCATGTCGACACGGAGTATTTTAAAGCTTCCTTGCTAGCGACTGCATTATCTGAACAGATGATTGTAGCCCATGCTGCTATTCACTGTTATTGGTGTAATCAAGAAGGACATATTAAAAGAGACTGCCCCTTGGGGAATAAAAAGGGTAATATTCCCCCTCCTGTCCGTGTCCAACATGATTTCATTGGGCAAATCAGTGTCGATCCAAATTTACTAATGATGGTAAACCCCTTTCGGGAAACTCCAAAAGGGACATGTGGCCCGGTGCCCCAAAATGAAACAAGGTCCCACCTGTTGAGAATCACAACAGAGCATGGAACTTTACGTCTCACAGCCCTCAGGTAAACAGGGCATACGCAACCTCCATCCTACCACCTCAGGAAGCGCCGGACTGGATTTGGTCCTTGCCACAGGAATAAACATACTGGATGATGCCGTTGTTGTAGCAGGCATGGTTGTTTATGGCCCTTTGCCCAGTAGTGTAGGAGTCAAAATCCAGCTGTCAGCAGAAAGGAGCTTGGTGGGTCAATGCAGTAAACCAGCCAGCAAAAAGGGTCTTTTTGTTATTCCTGGACTTATTGATTCTGACTACAAAGGTTAAATTAAAATAATGCTGTGGACTTCATGTCCCTCGTGTTACATACTGCAAGGGGAAAGAATAGTACAGATGTTGTTATTGCCTTATGTGAAGCAACCCAAAGATCATCAGACAGAGAGAACAGGAGGTTTTGGAAGTCCTAATACACCGCAGATCTATCAGTCGACTTTAATCTCAGATGTCCAGCCATTGTTAAAATTGCAAATAGAAGACAGGTACTTTACTGGTTTAGTCGACACTGGGGCAGATGTTTCCATCATTAATGCTAAAGATTGGTCTGTCAAGCGGGACCTTGAAATTCCACAAGCAGCAGTTACTGGAGTCTTTCAACTGCCGAGACACAGGTTTCTACAGTCGTTATCCGAATTACCCTTTCAGTCACAAGATCTCTGTTCCAGGACTCCAATAACTAGTGCCATAACTGCAGGAAAGGGTACTGTTGTATGGAAGCCTGATAATCACTCTCCCTGGCAGTCAGCAGTGATTACAGTTTCTGCATCAACACAGATTGTCGAGCTTTCTGCAACTATAAAAGCATTTGAGTTATTCAGTGACCAAGCTTTAAATATTGTTTGTGACTCTTAATATATCATAGGTATCATAGCTTGGACTGGAGACTCTTTCATCAGAGAATCCTCTAACAAGCTACTGTTTGAATGCTTTATGCGCTTGTCTCATTTAGTATGTTCTCGTCACCATGCTTATTTTGTTTGTCATATTCGTTCTCATACCAACTTGCCAGCACCAATCATAGAAGGTCATTCAGTGGCAGATAAGTTAACCATGCCATCTGTGGTACCAAATCTTTTTGAACAGGTGCGTCTGTTTCATTCCTTTTATCATCAAAATGCCTTGTCCTTACAGAAATCTTTTCATTTAACAAGAATGCACGCATGGGATATTATTCGTGCATACCCTGATTGTCAGGTATTTGCCTCATTACCCATGACAGGAGGAGTTAATCCCTGAGGTCTTTCAAGTAACGAACTGTGGCAAACTGATGTTACACATGTGCCCTCCTTTGGGCCCCTAAATACTTACATGTTACAGTTACCACTTTTTCTGGTTACATTCATGCATCTGCTAGAACAGTTGAAAAAGTTAAAGATAAAAAAAGTTAAAGATAAAAAAGTTGAAAAAGTTAAAGATGTTCGAAGCCACTGGTTCGCTGCTTTTGCAGTCATGGGTGTGCCAGAATCCATCAAAACAGACAATGGGTCTGCCTACACCACCTAGGTGGTTGCCAGCTAAATATATATGGCCTTATCACGAGTTGGAACAACGAACTGCAGAATCCATTTCCAGAAATCCAGGGTCTGCAGGTGATACCTTGGAACAACAGAGTCAGGAAGAGAGAACAGATGACCAGTGACACCAGCATTATCTGGGGTCAACTCGAACACCTAGATGAGCAAGTATAATGTATCATGACAACAGTGGGTGCAGTATCCTTTTAGTTTATTTGACCTTGATCTTTTCTGCATCTAAGGTCTGTGTTGCTTAGTTATTCTGTATAGTATCAGCAGTAGTCATTTTAGTTACTGCCTCTGTTGCAGTCACCTTATTAATGGAAATCTGTGTAGATTACACTGCCTCTGATAACATCTTGCAAGAACTATGAATTTAAGCAAGTTAATTAAGCCCTTATGGTTTGTTTAGATGCCTTAGAATCTGTTATAATGTGGTTAGACAATAGACAACATGCCTTGTAAACTAGAAGTAAGTTGTGGTGTGAATTGTAGTAATCTTTGCGAAGTTTTGCAGTGACTACATTGAATTTCTTATCGAGTGAAATCATCGAGCGCCGAGCGATAGCTGTCTTCCTCCATCGTGCTGAATACAGGGGGGAGATGTAGCAACCAGCATGAGAAAGGCCTGGGAAATGTCTAGATGACCTTGTATTGTTTATCTAACACCTTGATTTACAGTCCAGGGAATGGAGCTGAGTTCACGGGGGGAGTGTAGGGTAACTTGAAACTACAAGGTCTGTGTATGTGGTGTGCGTGATGGGTCAGCCTATGTATGATTGATTTGTGGCTTGCAACTGTGTTCTGCCTTGATTTGCTTAACCACTCCCATCTGCAAGTGAATGAGATAAAAACCCTAGTTCATTAGCAATAAAGCGATTTCTGTCCATCAAGTCAGAAGTCCGTTAATCATTCTGTCATACCACATGATGGTTAATGGTGTCTCTATATACAGTACACAGGTGATTAAACAAGAGGGTTTATTCCTTTTCCAGCTTTCCTCTAGTCAAGCCCCACGATTTGGGCGCCAATAAATGTCTGAGTTTAACAAGATTACAACTTAGAAATTAAGAAACTTCAGGCAGGACTGTCCCAGCAGTTCAAAACCTACTTGCAGCCACGTGTGCTCGCAGTCAGCAATGAAAAAGTCCTTTTTCCCACAAGCAGTCTTGAAAGCAGAATACCTTGCTCTGAAATGGGTCAGTCCCTCTCTCTCTCAGTCATCCTCCGTGAGGTGTCCCATGGGGGAAAAAACTTCCTCTCAGGAAAAGAAAAAGAGGTGACCGAAACCAGGTTCCCGCTCTGTCCGGTCCGCGGACCAAACCCAAAAGCCCCCAAACAAAGCACTGCCCCAGTCGTCCTTGTGGTAACCCCGTGAGACCTCCCCCACTCCCACGTTGCTCAGTACGTGCGGCTCCACTCCGCCCCCACCCCCTCCCCGACTCCCCCATCCCGGAAGAAACATAATGGGTGGGGGAGTACGGAGGAGGGGACTGGAGGACGGGACCCTAGGGAAAAAAAAAAAGAAGTTCCAACATCTCTTTTCAAACCTATGACAATCTTCAGCTATAGCACTCAGTAAAAGCAGGTGCTAATGAAACTATTCTGCTGATATCTCTTCACATAGGCAAATAGATTTCTTATTTACAATGGTAGAACAATCTCAAAGGGAAATTTTGATGATATGCTACTATATTCAACTTCCTCTCACCCATCAAATGTCAAGTACCATCATCACAATACAACTTCTATGGCATTCTATATATAAAATAAATAAACAAATGAATAAAGTTGTGTCTTGTCAGTAGAGTAAGTCAAAGAACTATGTATGAGTCCTCCAATTTAACAATATCAAAACATATCTTAGTACCATTGTAGGAAGGTATTGATAGAAATTAGATCAAGAGAGACAGATTCTGTGCTTAAATAAACCACTCTTTTATGACTAGAAAAGTGAAATTCCCTTTCCAATCATCCAAGTTCAAACAAACAAAAATATCTTACCTGCCCATGATCAAAATGTTGCCACTATTCCCATTTTACTAGCTAGGAACCGTGCTTCTCTGTCCTCTCTGTCATTAAAATAACAAATGTCACAATACACAGTTAATTACTGTAAAACAAACAGTGTTACTAAGATAGCAAGTAAAAAGTAGTTAACTGAAATTTTAGATGGGGGACTGTGGTGGTTTCACTCTAGGCCTTCCTGGAGACCAACTTGTAACCAGGAAGGAACTAGAAAAGTGATCACGGAAGTATTCCATGCTATTCCTTTACGTAACTGGAGGTATAAATAAAGCCAGCGGGAGGGATCGCGTTCTCTTCCTCTCCGGCGAGGTTCGAGAACGGTGGGTCCCTGTTTTGGTCGGGCTTATCTGGAGTCGAGGCCTACAGTGACTGCCGTTATCCGCCACGCGTGAGGGGAGAGCCTAGGACCGTGTCTGGTCATCCTGCCTGTTCGAAGGGAAGTGGTGAGATTTCTGCTAGTTTGCCTTCGGTTGGTTGTTTGACTTGCTCGGTCCTTGCCCCTTTTTGTCTTTCTCCCTTTCCCTTCCCCCCCCCCCCCCGTCCTCCCCCCGCCAGGTGTGTGGTATTCTCCTTTTGTGTATGTCTCATATGTAAAATATATATATATATATATTTGCTATAGCTTTGGCTGCTTGGGGTTTTTTTTTCCCTCTTTTCCCTCTCTGGGAGGCGGGTCCTTGTTGTCGAGTTTCGGGGGACTTGGCGGGAAGCCAACTCGAAACTTGTACAGGGACAAAATCCAACATAAGAAAAATCTGTTATGTACATAAATATGTGTGTGTGTGTATGTATGCAATGTGTACATACACACAATGATTAGGACTTTTAAGTACTGTTACTTTTCTATTTTCAGTGACGGTTCCATGGTAGGAGGATCGCATCAAAAGTAAACACCTATATTTGGTTGGATGATTCACTCTCAAGCCTCCACTGACAGTGAGACCATAGCAGGAGCCACTTGGACACTAATTCAGTTACACAGAACTAAGCATCTATTGCAATCTAATAATAAAAAAAATTCAAACAACAAAAACCTGATTAATTCAAGTTGTAAGCAATCTCAGGAGGTCTGTAGTCCAAACTCCTGCACATAGAAGTTGTCAGCTGTGAGACCAGACCAGGTTATACACAGGACTTTATCCAGTTGGATCTTAGAAATTCAGTCACAGAATCAAAGAACTAGTCAGGTTGGAAAAGACCTCTGAGATTATCGAGTCCAACCTTTGATTGATCACCACCGTGTCAACCAGACCAGAGCACTGAGTGCCATGTCCAGTTGTTCGTTGAACACCTCCAGGGATGGGGACTCCACCACCTCCCTGGGCAACCCCTTCCAATACTTAACGCTTTCAGTGAAGAAATTCTTCCTGATGTCCAACCTGAACCTCCCTGGCACAACTTGACATTATGTCTTCTTGTCCTGTCATTACTTGCCTGGGAGAAGAGGTTGACGTCCATCTGGTTACAACCTCCTTTCAGGTAATTGTAGAGAGTGACAAGGTCCCCCCTGAGCCTCCTTTTCTCCAGGTAAAACACCCCCAGCTCCCTCAGCTGCTCCTCATAGGATTAACCCTCTAGACCCTTCCCCAGCTTCAGTGCCCTTCTCTGGACTCTGAACTCTCAAGGATGAAGGTTGCAGGGCCTCTCCGAACAGCCTGTTCCAACACTTGACTGGCCTCACAGAATTTTTGTTTTCCCGATATCAAGTTGGAGCCTTTTGTTTCCATTTCTGAGCTTGACCATACAACCATCAAACATAAAACTAGCTCAAATAGAAACTCCTCATTCTAGATGTTTAAAACGAGATACAAAGAAACCAATACCTGAAGTAAAATATGATGATTGTGATATTTTTTTAAGTCAAAGAAATATAATGGTGGGAAGGGAAGAAGGGTAAAACTAATTTTCCCCTTTAAATCTGAAATCTTAAACAATATTTTAGGAAGCTGCATTTTAACCTGTTATAATATTCAACTTCAAATAGTTTAATATTAGCTAACTGCTTTTACTTTGTCACTTTAGAAAGAAAAATAGTTTAATTCCAGTACCATGAACACAACTGGTAGCATAAGTAGCAGCACTAACACTTACTTGAGTTGTCCTTCTGCTGTATCTGGATTATGCCTGTAGTGAAAATCTGTGTAAGGAGCTAAAATTTGCTGAACAAAAGAAAGACATGTATTACTTTCACATGAGAATAGTTAACAGGTCTTGCCCTTTCCTCAGTCCCACTCTAATCTGTCATTTTATTCACACTTTATAAATCATTAAACTCTTAGTCTAAAATGTTGCATTTAAACATTTTGCACTAATACAGAGGGTGAAATCTGAAGTGAAAATTAAACATTTTAATTTGTAATACATTGTTTAATTTCTGTCACTAAAGAAGTAAAACTGAACCCACCTCTAACTCTACATCTGCTCGCACATACTGTCGGGTCTTTGGATGATTAATGAGGTGCAAAACTGTAGTTATCAGAGCCTCTTTTATTCGGCTTAGCTGACAATCAATCACATTTTTCAAGATGGTACTCAAACCACGCCGAAGAGCCACCACCTCAGGATTCTGAAGTGCTAAATAAAGAAAAACACATCATTTTGGCCAGTGATAGGAAAGAAAACATTTCACCACTTCCAAAAGGACAAACTTGTCTGGTTAATAAATATATCTTTTTCTTCCTGAACATTGCTGAGGCACACAATAACGCTTTTATTGACTGTCATTAGCAATACATTGAGATTTTTGATTAATTTATCATCAATCGAAATAATGACCAGTCAGTCACCACGGTGCAGCAATTTGCCATCTTATTTTCAACCAAGTTTCCATACAGAAGTGTCTGCATTTCCCTGCAAAAAGGTTTTGTACTTCACTGGACTGACATTGATAAAATATTTATACTAGAATATAAACAAATAACAGATTGTTCACTTCTTTAAACTAGAAGTTTGCATCTTGAAAATGTTGCTGAAGTTATTTCTCATTGATACAAAACTGAAAACCTTTAAAAATCAGCACCCACATACAAAGTATAGGGAGTTTGTATAAACCACTGTCTGGATAAGCCTTTAAGTGGACACAAATACTGATTTTTAGAAGTCAGCTAACCACAGTACCCACTGTAAAAATTTTTAAAAGGAAAATGTTCTCTGAACACTTGTACATTTTTCAGCACCTCACGTATGGAACCTTCCCTACTTCCAATCCATTAGTTTTAGAAACGTCACCTACAGGAGAAAACTTTTTAAAGTAACGCAAAAATTAGCAAGTCTTAAAGGAAAGTACAGTATCTGTAATCTACAGGTACTTCACTTCAGAGATTTTGATTTTAAGTGATTTTGGTTTATATCAAACTAATGACTAAAATATATGAAATTGGTATTAAGAACATTTTCATCTAATTATTTGAATACAATCTATTTAATATGAATCCACAGAAGAAAATCTCTTAGAAGATTGATCATCAAAATTTTTCTTAAATAACTTTCAGTTATCTTACCTAGTTCACATATAATGGCTATACATGTTTGAACCATTCTGTCTCTTTCTTGAAGGTCATCGTTTCCAACTGCTATCAAAGAATTAGTAATAGAACTGGGGAACAATGAAGCATTCACAGTGATCATCTGCCAAAAGTGAAAGAAAAAGCCCTCTGGTTTCTTCATAATATTTCTCTAATATTTTATTATAATAAAGTGCAAAAAACACCCTGACTGTTGCAGAGAAAACTACTACTACCTTCTTCAGATTTTTTCAAGAATTTCTTTATCGACAGAGAACACTATCCAACAACAGAGAGTAGATTACAAACTCTTCTAGAAGATTTATTCATACTGCACCAGATATCTACCTTCAATACCTTTTCAACTTTTTAATTAGCCAAGACTAAACTCTTGTTTTTTATAGAGATCCTTAGGTTGTTACAGAGTACAAATAGGACAGTCAACAAAAGAAGTTGTTAAAGTATTTGAAAGGCAACTGTCAGCGACACCTCTGTATCGTCTTGTATAGTACCTGATCTTCCATGAGGATTTCCATGACACAGGAACTCTTCAGTAGTGTAAAAGGACCAATGGTTGTTCATCTACTCTGTCTCAAATTTATTGAAAATTATTTTTATTTTTTAATTGTTTTCAACAAAACCAGGTTTATCTCCATTATTTTTTCCAAAATTGTTTTGTCCTATATTAATTTTACAGATATTTGTTCAAGAGGATTAGGTTTTTCCCCTCTTTGCAGAAAACTAAAATGAGAAATCAAAAATTATGATCAATATATTTCAGTGTTTTAACAAGTTAATTTTTAAGATGTATTTTTGAGAAAATTCTTGTTAGACATGATATTGTCAGCCACAAAACAGAAAGCTTTAAGATAGGACTCTAAACAAAACCCAAACTCTTCCCCACCAATGCAGTCTTTCAGTTGTTCAATGGCATAAAGTAATAAGAGTTAGCAACAGAATGGGTGCACCAATCCACTCTACAAAATAACCTTTTTTCTACTGACATTGACATGTACTTAAATGTGAGGACACAAACAGCCTCTTAAAGATGTTTTGTGTCATTGATTTCTTTGGTTTTAAGACATGAGAATGAAAAATTTCTCTTTTAATATTCAATCCCAAGTGTTATAGTAGAATAAATACAAACAATAAATAAAATCCATTTACTTTCATTCTGCTCTACATATTGCAACACAATTCTAAAGACCAAGGACAAGTAATGCAAGACTACATACAAGAGGCTATGATGAAATAAGTAACAAAGACTGAATTTGGTCTTTAAAGATTCCTTTAAATAAAGGGGGAAGAAAGAAGGTGGTTCATATTATACCTCACCCTGACTTCTGCTTTGAAGATAAAATTTATGCCTATAAAGTTACTGAAAAATGGGCAGAATGAATTCTATTAGATGGAGAAACACTTTCTGAAGTATTGCTAAAGACAATGCTAAATTACAAAGCTTAGTAGGATATGTAGAGGTGATAGTACTAAACACTGCCACACAGAATACAGACACAAGAGAATATGAGCACTCATATTCATAAAACAGGATTAATATTTCCCATTTTGTTCTTCTACTCTGTGAAAACAAAGACAAAAAAGTGAGACAATGTTTTAAAGTTTTATGTCTATGCTATTCTTATATGGATATTTTTGTTATCAAAGATGAGGTTAAAGAATTGCATCCATACTTTAGAAGAGAAAACAATAGTTCTGAGATGCCGGTGGAACCCAGTTCCACTCTTCCACACCTCATAGTAAACTATCTCCTGCACAAATTAATTAAATCTGATTGTTATATTTGTCATTCATTCTCTCCTAAGACCTTCATACAATCTTTTAGGAATTCTGGTATCAAATTACTGAGTCTGAGATCTTGTGGGACATGAGGAGAGATGGGAAAAGGGCAAGAGGAAAGTAATAAAAAGACATTGCGAAAATACAGAATGTGTAATTCACAGAATCACAGGATCATTTAGGTTGGAAAAGACCTCCAAGATCATGGAGTGCAACCTTTAACCGATCACCACCTTGTACACTAGACCAGAGCATTAAGTGCCATGTCCAGTCATTTCTTGAACATCTCCAGGGATGGTCACTCCACCACCTCCCTGGACCACACCAAAATGGTGGTGGTCTCCCACACATCCTGCCCCAAAATGGTGGACTGACCACATGGCGTGCTGTAAACCCCAAAATGGCAAATCTTGTGGGTCCCATAGGAAACATTAAAGCACAGGGGCGCACCTGGGCATCACTCCCAGTGGACTGGAGCAGATAAAAGGACAGCAACATGGGTGCCCAGCAGCGCACTCTGCTGCCTGAGATTTAGAAACTGCTGAGACCATGCTGGATCCCAGTGTGGTGACTATCTACCTTTCTCTCTCTCTCTTTCTTCTCCTACCTTCTTCTTCTCAAAATATATTGTAAACTAGACCAAAAAATTTCAGTAAGTGAACAAAGAAAAACAATGGCAGAAAGACCCTACGCCTGCCATACTTTCTCCCCCCAACCAGAAAGTGCAATCCTTCTCAGAAGAGAGAGTCCCTTTCCTCCATCCCTGGTAATGACGTAAGATGATATGGAATGACCCAATGTCTTGGCTACACCCCCTCCCGCTGATTTGGGCCGGAACCAGGACAAAAATGCGAAACCCTATTTTTTCAATTTAGAAATGTCTTCCATATGAAAAATCCAAAACTATGTCCATACTGTGATTTATCTTCAGCTATAGCACTCAGTAAAAGCAGGTGTTAATTAAACTATTCTGCTGATATCACTTCACATATGCAAATAGATTTCTTATTTACAATGGCAGAACAATCTCGAGGGGAAATTTGATGATATGTTACTATTTTCAACTTCCTCTCAAAGTATGTCAAGACTTCCATCTCAAAGATGTCAAGTACCATCATCACAATACAACTTCTATGACATTCTATATATAAATGTCTCAGTTTAAAGAGACTGGAATGTTTGCTAAGAAGGATGAGTCATGAGGTAGACCAAACTCCTCTCTCTCACCAATTGTAAATCCAAAATTAAGAGGTTCCAATCGAGGAAGTATGGAAAAAGGAAGAAATAACAACCCTTTATGAAAGGATATAGGTATATTGGCAAGCGTGGGGTCCCGGATCACGGGAGAAGCCGAAGTGGGGACCTTCCCCCACCAAGAGGGGAAAAGAGAAGAAAGGGAAAGAAGGGCAGTTTATTTCCCACGGAACTCACTGTTGTCTTCGGTTGTTGTCTTCTTTTTCCCAATGAGCACAAACTCTCCAATGAAATTGCAGCAGGTTCAGACTGGAGGCAGGGGCAGTGTGCAGGCAAGTCGAGGTGAGTGGTCAGATGACCAGGTCGAGAGCAAGAAAAACGGCCTCAAAGCTTTTCCAATGCACACAGACACTTAGCCTCTGTTCGAGTAGAAAACCAAACTGTTCTCCCCGCTTGTGAGAGTAGCAGAAAAAAACTCCTTCCCCCTCCCTGCAGTTTTAGATGGGCTATTAACCAGGAATGCAGGTTTGCCAGCTAGTCCTTTTGTAAATTAATTACCCCTTCCCCCTCCTCGTTCAACCTCCTTCTTCTTTTAGTGGGGCAGGGGAAAATTCCTGCTTGGATTTTTAGAACAAGTAAACCTATGACAATAAAATAAATAAACAAATAAATAAAGCTGTGTCTTGTCAGTAGAGTTAGTCAAAGAACTATGCATGAGTTCGCCAATTTAACAATATCAAAACACAGTACCACTGTAGGAAGGTATTGACAGAAATTAGATAAAGGGAGACAGATTCTGTGCTTAAATAAACCACACTTTTACTACTAAAAGGTCATTAAAAAAATTCTCCTGAGAATTTGGTTGTTTCTCCCACACACTGTCCAGGGTAAATCCAACTACCTTCCCCTAAACCCATTGAGCAGGCTGGGGCATTACACCTTTTTGTGAAGAACATCTTCCTGATGTCTAACCTGAACCTCCCCTGGTGCAACTTGAGGCTGTCCTTTCATCCGGTCACTACTTGCCTGGGAGAAGAACCCAATCCCCACATTGCTACAGCCTCCTTTCAAGTAGTTGTAGAGAGCAATAAGGTCCCCCTTGAACCTCCTTTTCTCCAAACTAAACAATGCCAGTTCCCTCAGTCACTCCTCTTGATGGGTCACAGTATCCTTTGTGAGAGTTTCACAAGTATTAATTGCCCTGTTCCAATGCATGCTTAACTGTTGCAGCTCCAAAAGAACATAAAAAAGATGTTAACTTCACTTGTAGTCGGGTGGCTTTTTGGTTTGTCTGACATAGAACCATAGAACATTTGGGTTAGAAGGGACCTTAAAGATCATCTAGTTCCAACCCCCCTGTCATGGGCAGGGGCACCTTCCATCAGACCAGGTTCCTCAGAGCTCCATTAAACATGGCCTTGAACACTTCCAGGGTTGGGGCATCCACAGCTTCTCTGGACAACCTGTGCCAGTGCCTCACCAACCTCTGAGTAAAGAATTTCTTCCTAATATCTAATCTAAACCTACTCTCTTACAGTTTAAATCAATTCCCCCTTGTCCTGTACATGACCTTGTAAAAAGTCCCTCTCCAACTTTCTTGTTGGTTCCCTTCAGGTACTGCTCTAATGTCTCCCCAGAGCTTTCTCTTCTCCAGGATCATAGAATCATAGAATCATAGAATCAACTGTGTTGGAAGGGACCTCCAAGATCAAGTCTGTGATATATAAGCAATTGTGATTCATGAAACAAATGGGTGATTACATCAAAATAAAACAAACAGATTGTAAGACTTAATTACTCCCCCATAAAGAAATAAAACAGACTGTCACAAGGTCAAGAGGCCTAAAACCTCCTTACTATCCTAAGAATGAAATATAGTAGAACTTTAAATCTTTAGGCGCCTGTTCATCCAAGAATACATGAATTATGACTGGTTGTAGAGATAACCCTTTTAGCTTTAGCTAAACATGAGTTATTAAAAATATATAAATCAAAATATAATACTCCCATCTTACCAGTAAAGGAACCTGATGGGAAGTATAAAATAGTGCAAGATCTTAGAGCAATGAATGAGATGGTTGGGGGCTTGCACCCCATAGTGGCAGATCCATGTACACTGCTGACTAAATTGAC